CCCGCCACGCCCCTCCCACGTCCCCGCTTCCTGTGTCGCCGCCGCCTCGAGCAGGCGGCTGCATGTTTTCTTCCCTTTGCACAACTCCTATTGAGTTTATCTACAGGCGCGTATTGAATTTTTTCAATGTGGGTTCGGCGGTTTCTCTTAAAGGAGAGCGCTCGCAGCTCTCCAATAGTGCTGGGAAGAAGGTTTAGCAATTAAGACGACAAACCGCTTGAAATGCGACCGTGTCTTCCAAAGAAGTGTACAATTAATCTTCTGTTTAGTAGAGGAAAAAATACGCGAGTGTCGGATGCGGGACTCTATTTGTACTCAGGTCGCAACGCCCAATGCTAAACTATTCCGTGATGTATAATTCACCAAGTGGAAAGTCGAGAACTGGGAATATAAAGTAAGTTGGAACGAGAGACGACGAGGAACTGTTCCGGCCCGTCGTATCTTAGTGATAGTTCGGTTTGGGCGATCAGAATATTGTAAAGGGAAATGCTCGGAGAAATACATTGAAAAGCAAGTATACACTACGTACGTAAACCATAAATATTAGAAAATTCCCAATAAGTGCACTTATAACTTGTTTTCAACTTTTGGAAAATGTTGGTTCTTAAAATTTTAATTGATATTTATATTTATATTTAGAACTCTTCCAGATCATTCTAATCCCATTGATTTTCGTCTTTATTACAAAAGCTTTTTTTGTAGGAATGTTGGAATTTGTGCATTACACAAACCAACTCAAACATATGTAACAAAATCGCTTTATCATTAGTAATTCAATAGCAATTTTTCGACTACTCAAAATTAGATTTGATTACTCTTATCCTGTTAATAGTTAGTCATTACAGTAAATGTATCCTAGTGATTTAACATAATTGTAATTACATTTAAAATTAATTGATTCAGTATTTTCAGAATTATTTGGTAAAAAACTATGTCTTCTAAAGTGTTCAATTCCTCAACTCTATAAAACTATACCGTTTTACATAGTTGAGATTTTATAAATCCTCCGTTTCCAGAAAGCAAATTAACTTCGATATAAAACTCCAATAAATTTCATTACAGGTAGGCGTCTACGTCTCTGAAAAGTATCCTGAACGTTAAGAACACATTATTGTAATGATATCAAAATTTCTTTTAAATTTTTTCGTTGCGGAAATTGTTTTGTTCGATGACTGTTGCTGTAATTTTTCTTTTGAAAACGCAAATGCTTCAACATTATATGGCCTTGTTCAAAAGGAGAAAGTTTGAAGAATTCTCACGAGTAATTGTTATTACTTTCCACAACTACCAGTATGTATGTCATAGATAGCTGCATCAATAATGTATACTGTAGAAGACGGCTTTGCATATGCACCAAGAACTGTGAGTTAGCGGTTCCTAACCCAGAGAAGACCATAAAATTCTTTCTGTTGTCACAAGTTTTGTGGCATGTAATATAAGAGAACGGCAAAATAGCCATTTTCAGAGTTCAAAACTTAGAAATGTCAAGTGAACTAAATGGACTCTGTAATGTGAGGAAGTAGCTGTTGCACTAATCTTTGAGTTATCAGAAATTACAATAATTCCAATACCTTCACATAAGGCATAAGCGAATACGAATCAAAATACTATGAAAGCTATACAAATGAATGTAATTAAGTAATACGCGATCTTCTATTGGTCTCAATAAAGGATGCAACTCGTAGAAAAGTGTAAGGATCAGTCTTGGGTAAGTGGTGGGGAAGATTAGATAGAATTCATGAATTAATGGCTTTTTCTTTCCCCTTAAAAAAGCTTCCGAAATATCACAAATTCCACGCTCAAATTATACCTAGTGCCCTTGGGTAATATAAAAATTATTATAATTCGTGTGTTATTTCGCATTTGCTTAAACAATGTAAGTTCAGATTGTTTAATATAAATTACGACTTTATTCCAGGCTGTCCTACGATTCCCATTCATTGCAATGCAGAATGATTCACTTGAAAAATTCGTTATCATTAAATTCAGATAACTCTCTCACTGCTATCTCAATATTAATAACGCTCTTCATTCGTTTAGAGGAGGATCTCAATTTTGCTAATGTATAGCTTCATTCAGGTCAGTGGGAAATAAAAACCGCCTCTCTTGTCTTAATAGAAATGTAAAAATAGTATGGTTTACCTCTCCAATAGCAGGAAATACAATGAATATCGCTAGTTAAAGATTATCTGTTAGGGAATGGGATACCAATCAAACATAGCTCCTGGACGCTATTGCAACAAGCTGTGTGAATTGAAACAAAATATTCGACATACTGTGGCGAAAGCGAAGTAATACTTCACTATTGCAAAACACAGGGAGAATAATGTGTTTAGAAGGAAAATTCGTTTCTTTACTTTTATGTAATTAATTCCTGAAGTTATTTGGAATAATGCAACTGAAATAATCCAGAAAATACGAATAATCAGCTACATCATCCTTTTTTATGTCATATTTTTACGAATACATCTCATTCGCCTACTTTGTATTGTTGTCTATTCAAAATCTGCTTTGAACGATCGTATATATGACTGTTAAGCCGCGTTTTTTTTAATCTAAGAAAAGACACTATAAATAACCCATTAAAGCGCATGTTCTTTGATAGACCATGTTAAATCATTCTCAAGGGATCTGTAACGAAACCAATACAAAAACATCAGTCCTAACGCCAGATTAGGCGTATGTTTTTATTAGTATCGTTTCAGATGCAGTATTCTGTGTCCGCAGTTGCGCTATTTTGTGTTGTCAATGAACTGAGTAGTGTGTGCAAGCCAAGGTTGCAAACTCTGTGCCCGCAGGCACGGCCGAGCGCGAGAAGGCGAACGCGCTGAAGAAGATGAAGAGCATCGAGCGCTCGCGCTACGAGAGCTCGCGCTACGCCACCGACGACGAGGACAACATCGTCTTCGAGGACTTCGCGCGCCTGCGCCTCAACGAGCCCGAGTAAACCGGTCGGCTCCCGCTGCCCCCGTCGCCCGGCGCCGGACCGCGCCCCCCGCCACGCCCCCCTCCAGCACTTCACCGGGTAGTCGTAGACACGCGCCTGTAGCTGCCTCCGCCCCCGCCGTAGTTGAGGTCCGGTGGCCCCGGGGTTCCAACACGCCCCACGACGTGGCGTTGCACTTAGATTGTTGAAACTTACACATAAAAAGCGACACTTGCTAACGGCCCGGTTCACGTCACTTGTCTGTACGCGAATGAAACACTACTTAACAATAGCTACATCTTCCGTCCGATTGTTGTCAACTTGTTTGTTCTTGCATTTTTCGATTCGGAAAACTGTGCAGCATTTTGACGGCAATTATCTCAAGGACAAACGATCCGACAGGGAATTGTGCGAGGAACGTCATGTAATTCATGGGCTGGATAAAAATTAAAGAAAACACAAAAAAAATGGGAAAAATATAAAAACTGAGTTTTTAAAAAATAGGAATAACCCGCAAGATAAGTTTTACACAGATAGAAGTTTTACACATGACATTTACTTAACTGAACCATATTCTCGAGAACATTTAACATCTATCCAAAATTTCGCAAACTCTTTATTTAGGTTTTTATAACTGTTCTCGCCAGAAGTGACATATCTTCTTATTTATGTACATATTCTAGTAATCCACTAGCAGTAGCCCTTTCAATGTAATAAAACGTGCATACTAAATAAGATAAAGCAAGCATTCCGAAATATAAAACAACATTATCATTAAGTAAGTGGTTATTTTTGAATACTTTTCGTGGGCGTATGGCACTTTGTTCGTATTTGATTGTATTTGATTAATTCAAAATAAGTTGGTGTCCACTAAGTTATCTCTTTGCTGAGTTTCGGTACTCTGGGTTCACAAGAATATGAAATTATTTACTTATCGTCTTTGGATTGATTTCGGGTAAGTTGATTTGACATTGCATGAATATATGTCTGATTGTGCTTATTTCTATGTAGCCCATTGGTTGTCTGCCATGATTTGAACATTATGTGATAAAAATAAAGAATGGAATAAACAAGTGGGTTTTTTATTTAACCGGCTTCCCCCTCCAGACAGTCACTGTCTCGAGGGTCGAGAATTACCTGACCCTACCTTCATTATTCACCTCTGTCAACATCACTCTTCCCACAGTTCCCATCGCAGGCACTGCATTGACGTCAATCCTAAGCTTCCTTTCAGTTTGCATCTTGCATTCCAGTTTCATTCCTTAATAGCAATGTATTAAAAAGCAACATCTTTTTCTACTAAAATGATGATATTTATGCTACTGAAATATGTTCGCGTGAAGTGTGCCCATGGAGGTTATGCTGAATGTATTATATAACTTCAATTTTTTTTTATTTTCATACTCAAAATCCATTTGCTAAATTTTTATTTCAATGACAATTTGATGTATCAGAAGGTCCCCTCTTAATAAAACGTCATGCCGAGAAATGCTATGGTGTTTTTAAATATACATTACATTTTCAAAACATGGAGAAAAATCAAGAAAATAATAGTATAACGGAAATGGAAATCCCAAACAGCTTTTTATATAATGTAGAAAAACTACAACAAAATCGTATTGTAGAGCCGGACAATGGTATAAATATTGTTCACTGAAGAAGGATGTTAGCAATGAGGGTCGTTTATTTAAATATTCAGTCTCCCGAGAAAAATATCTTTATCAAAATTACATTAAGAAATACCAAATTTTAAAGTCCATTAAATGTTAAAAGAATAGGAAATAGGATTAGTCTTCAACTTCTATTAATACTTATCTGCATTAATTAACATTGATCAATTGTCTTGATTGCAAATAGTTATTTCCTTAAAATTAAATATTATTTCCCAAAAGAACTTCGTAACGGATATTCGGACGGGGAATAGTAAACGTAAAATATTCACATTGATCATTGTATACGTATAATAAGTAAAACATTGCAGATGTCAAGCCGAGGCAAAACACTCTTGCTACCTTTCTAAAAAAAACTCCTTCCCTTTAATAACATCGCGTAATACGGATTTCACGGGACCTCCCCACCCAGTGATTAATAACATTGTGAGAGTTCTCACAGTCTCCCGACTGCGAGTGGTCGCGAGTTGAAGAGCGACTCTTGAGGGAGAAGCGACAGATGGGGCGAGGGCGACTTCTCGGAACGGCTCCTTAATTCAAGGAGCGCAGCGGGCCTTCCGTGTCTACAATGCTGCTCACCTCCGGAACACGCGCACCCGCCAACCCCGAGCGGGCGACAAAAAGCGACGAACCGCCGAAGGAAAACAAAGGCCGGCGTCGCGCCGGGGAGACGCCCCGCATGCGGGACAATGGACGTGACGGCTGCGGCGGACGCACAGCCGGTGCGGGTGGAGAGGACGGCGGAGGCGGGGGCGGTAGGGTTGAAGGTGGCGGCGGGGGCAAAGGGGGGTAGGGTGATGGATTGATTGATTGATTTGTGATTCCGGCCGCAACATACTATAGTACCGTACCGTCATCAGTCATTAGTGCGTGCTAAGATCATTAGTACCGTAAGTGTAGTGCTTGTTTTTCTCGGGATTCGGCGGCGATTTTACCCATATAGATGGTGAAAACCGAAGCTGACCTACCTTGATTTTCCCAAACTGGTATCTCCCACCAGTGGGGTACCCTCTCTAAGCTGGGACAAGCTATAAAATCCCGACCGGTCTCCTGGAATGTGTGGTAGTGTGGGGGATGTTTGTGTGTGTGTGTGTGTGTGTGTGTGTGTGTGTGTGTGTGAGTAAGAGGTGAAGATAGGGCAAGGTAGGGAAGGTAATAATGCGCGTGGCCCATTTGTTATGATACTGCTCCAGCACTCGGTGCAGTACAGTAACCCCGGATCCGAAAAGCTACGGAAAACTATCGATCAGAGCAGCCAGCTGCTAGAATTCACATTCACACCGCGACTGAATTCAACCTGACTCGAATCTAGGACCTAAAGGACAGAGGCACTACTGGGACATCACTTGATGCTCTGAGCCATCTCTGCCAAGAGAGATGGAGGGAGCAGCGAAAGCGACATCGGAGGAAACGGAGGAGGGTGAGGAGGGGGGTGAGTGTTCCGGGGGTGGAAGCGTCGACGAGGGCGGCAGAGGTGGCGGGTCAGGGATCGAGGAAATCACGTCAGAGGCGGAGAGAGTGAAGGCGGAGGCGATGGGGCATCTGGGAAGATAGAGGTAGCGGCGAAGGCGGCGTCGAGGGCATCGCCGGAGGGGTCAGGAGGGGCGGCGGGGGC